TCTGGAGTAAGACTTTCATAAAAGAAGAAGAAACAGACTGGAATTTTGTACGCAAGGGATTAATTTTTCCTAATTTTCATAGGAAAATTTCCTTTGATAGGAAGCATAGGCACTTCCTATTTCACCTGCAGCAGAGACTGGCTAGTCACTTCCGCCTTCTCCCGAGCACACAACTCCGCCATATTTCTCAGCCCCTCATGCGGCTGAACGTGGCCTCCAGACTAGCTCTAGCCAATGGAATGTGTACAGCAATGATACCCTCACCTTCAGGCCTGGCCCAAACTTTCCAATCCACTCCTAACCCTGAATGGCAGAGGATCCGGGCGAGGATGCTGAGGCCACTCACCAATCATAAACACCCACAACAGTGAACTTTGAATAAGTAAGAAATAAACTTTCATCGTAGTAGATCACTGAGACTTTAGAGTGTTTTCATTTTGTGGTGTTGTTGTTTAGTAGCCACTAACACATCACTCATTGTCCTTTCTTCTTTCTTTCTTGGTCTCCTTCTGCTTGCCTCATTTCCTTCCTCTTATTGTCTTTGGGTATCGCGTGATTAGGTCTTTCTGATTTAACCACCAAAAGCAAACTGCTTTTATTGGATTTGGGGCAAAGGCCTTCACAGTGTTGAAATAATAAGCAGACCCAATGCATTTAATTAGCAGGAAACGTTCAATCAATTCAACTTTTTAAAAAGCTTACATGCTAGGATAATTTTTATTCAACAACTATTTGAGTCAAGGGTCACACTTACCCAGTTTAGCGATCACATAAGAGTCTCACGGTAACTGTGACAAGTGTGATAATCTCAGTGCTGGAGACCCAGCAGATGTGTACACAACCACCACCTTCTGAGGAGGAAAACCAAGGTGCGTGGACTTGAAAACAGACATTAGCCTAAGCCCTCAGGCTTGACTCGTATGTCACCATGGCCTCCAATAGGCAAACATGGACATTGTACAGTGTGAGGCATCTGTAAGAAAAGGCCAGGAAAAAATATTAGCCCTGCATATGACTGGGTGAGGCTTCCAAAAGAATTAGAGTTTCAAAACGGCTTTTTAAAAAATCCAAAATGAGGGCGCCTGGGTGGCTCAGATGGTTAAGCGTCTGCCTTCGGCTCAGGTCATGATCCCAGGGTCCTGGGATCGAGTCCCACATCGGGCTCTTGGCTCAGCCGGGAGCCTGCTTCTCCCTCTGACCCTCTCCCCTGTCATGCTGTTTCTCTCTCGCTCGCTCTCTAAAAAAAAATAAATAAAATCTTTAAAAAAAAAATAAATAAATAAATAAAAAAAATAAAAAAAATAAAAAATCCAAAATGAAAATTCCAATCTGATTTTGTGTCAGCTGCTTTCTTTCAGATTCAATATGGCGATTTATCCTCTTCCTCCTCTTCCTGCTCCAAGTTGGTGGTTCTCAAGCTGGGCTCGGTGAAGCCCATTCAGAGGCTGTCTCAAGAAGTGGGCTCCAGGCAACTCGCTCCAGATTTGACAAGAAAAGCTTTCTTTTGATCCGTTTTTGCAAAGGGGACTTCTGCAGAAGCATTTATTTTGGGGTGTGAGTTGGGAAGTTTCCCTTGCTTTATAGGGTTACAAGCCATAGCTTTATTTTTTTTTATTTTTATTTTTATTTTTTTTAAAGATTTTATTTATTTATTTGAGACAGAGAGAATGAGAGACAGAGAGCATGAGAGGGAGGAGGGTCAGAGGGAGAAGCAGACTCCCTGCTGAGCAGGGAGCCCGATGCGGGACTCGATCCAGGGACTCCAGGATCATGACCTGAGCCGAAGGCAGTCGCTTAACCAACTGAGCCACCCAGGCGCCCAAGCCATAGCTTTATATGTTCTGCCTGGACACCACACCTACTCTAATAGTTTTGGTAACACAAATACCCAGTGAGGTCCAAATCTGAGTCTACAGCACACGTCTTTTCTGGGCCCCCCCCACTCATAGTCCCACTGGTATTTCACCACCTCCACTCGGTGAATGCCTCATAGCCACCTCTTCACAACGTTCCTGGAATAGAATGCATTATCCTGCCTACCCTTCTTCCTGCACTGATGACATCACCATCCACCTGGTGATTCAGAGAAAACTCTGAATCATCCTGACCCCCTTTCCCTTCCATCCCCAAATCCACTCAGTCATTTAGTCCTGTTTGTAAGCTGTCCTAATTATCCGTTAAATATTTCCTTCCTCTCCATCCTCATTGCCACTGCTTCAGCATATACGCTTGTCACCTCCTTCAATCCGGACCATTACAATCACCCCCAGTGGCTCTCCTACCACTCTATCCCTGGCTGCCTTGCTTTCTCTGAAATACAGTGGAAATCATAAACGTTAATATTTATCTTTAGCTTGGCAGTTAACAAGTTGCTTTCATGTATATTTTCATATTTAAGTATCCTAGCATTCCAGCAAGAAGACATTGTTATTCTTAACTTAGAACAAGAATTTGAAGCCTGAGAAATCATCTTGATCAAGGTTCCTCAAAAAGTCAAAAAGCTGTTGTTCAAACCTGAGGACTCTAAAGTTTATGCTGATGACATTAAACCACACTACCAAACACATGTCAGTCCTTGGTTTGAACACCTTCAATTTCTCACCACTGGCTACAAGAGAAAGATCAGACCTTTTAGCACAATGAGAAGGCTCACTATAATTATGCCCCAAGGAGCTTTAGCAGTTAATAGTAGTAGTTAACAGTCCAGCTCTGGAGTTAGAACCCACTTCTAGTCTAACCTCGTGGATAAGTTATATAATCTCTCTAAACCTCAGTTTCCTAACGTGCACACTGAGGCTAATTATAGAGTTTACCCCACAAGGTTGTTGTGGGGCTTAAACAAGATGGCGCATGTGATGTACTTCACACACTGCTTGTCTAGTAGAAAGTGCCTGGTGAATGTGGGCTATGGGCACGGATTTACCAGCCTCATCCTGCAGCATTTGTTTTCCCATCTTCCACCCTTCAAGCAGCCCACCTACACTTTCTGTTACCTCCTCTATGAAATCTTGAAGATCCCAGTTGGCGATTTCCCCACCACTTCGTACACACCTCTATGGTTAGATACTCGGTTGGGTTGTACAGCCCTTAAGACCAGCAGTGGAATGTCTCCTGGGAGGGGTTAGTAGATCTTGGAGGAAGTCCCCACTACAGAATGCTCTTCCCCATGCTCTCCCAGGTCTCCTGCCCTAGATCTCTTGTTCCCTTGCTCTACCTCTCCCTTAACCCCTGCCACTTCTGATGTCATTTGTCCTCCAGGCTTGCCCTTGCTCTAATTTGACAGCCCTGCTGAAGGCACCTGACCTGAGCTCCATGCCAGTGCTGTGTGCCAATTAAGGGCAAGGCTTTGGCAACTCGTCTGTCTCTCTCTGGCATCCGACCTCAGTCTGTCTCCTGTTTCTAGATTTTCTGAAGCTGACAACTCTCAGGGACTGACCAAACACAGTTCAGATAGGATGATCACAGATCTTACCACACTGTTTTGTGTTGTTTCTCTCATCCATCAGACTGAACTCTTCCAAGACAGAGACGTCTTGTCTTTGATCTCAGTAGATCCTCTGTAGCATCTGGTTCAGAATAAACTCTTTATAATTGCTTGTTGATTGAATAGACTATTGTTCCCCAAACAAATGGCTGTGAATCTTGGGAGCTCCTGCTGTATAAGTTCTTAAGACGACACAGAGCCATCTGATAGTGCACTCAATCTTCTGAAACTCCTCTTATACAACCAGTTTCAAATTAATGAAAAGTACACATAACTACATCATCTGTAGTGTTTTTTCCTACCAAAATATAAAAGTATTTCACCTATAAAATGTTTTTTCTTATTTTTTGCCATTACTTGTTGACAGCATTCTATAAATTTGACTATGTCATCAACAATCTATTTATTTAGCTTCATTCTATGCATTTTCAAGGTTAACTGTTTGCTTTTTGCTGCATACCCTTACGATTGTACGTAAATTTCTTAAAAGAAGTCTTTGTGTAGTTTGTTTGTTTGCTTTTTTTTGGTGGTACCTTGTTGAACAACCTTATACAAAGTGCATACCACAAAATATTGCTTACATTGAAATATACTGCTGTTTTTCAAGTTCCGCTGCTGAAAAATAAGCTCATTTTGTGTTTGACTCAACTATCATGGCTTTCACTGGATACATTTTTCTTTAACCACAGAGCCCTAATTTTGTTTTTGTCTGTAAAACAACAAGATTGCCTAGATGATCACTGTTTCTTTTCACTTCCAGCCATACGTAGTGTAGAGTTCTGAAATACAATTAAAAACCCTGGTGTCTCCAGGGGCACCTGGGTGGCTCAGCCGGTTAAGCGTCTGCCTTTGGCTCAGGTCATGATCTCAGGACCCTGGGATTGAGCCCTGCATCGGGCTCTCTGCTCAGCAAGGAGTCTGCTTGTCCCTCTCCCTTTGCCTGCCTCTCTCTTTCTCTCTCTGTGTGTGAAATAAATAAATAAAACCTTTAATAGACAAAAAAACTAAAAAAATCTATTGATTTACTAAAAAGAAAAATACACTTTGAAATTATTAAGATTTTGGAACATATACCTCAGGGAAATGCATATTAATGCAACAATGAGAAACCACAAATTGCCTACCAAAGAGAATTGATTATCCCAATGCTGGGGGCATAACTGGACAGCACTGGTGGAAATGTAATTTTGTATAACCTTTATACCAAAAGGGCAATTTGGCAATATTTATCACCAGACTTAAAAACGCATATTTAAAAAATTCATTTGAACCAGAAATTATTCTTCTGCAAAGTTCTCCTAAAGAAATAATCAAGGATAGATGCAAAGCTTTAGCTAAATGGTGGTTCTCAGCATTTAGATTGGAAAAGAAACTCATTAAATGTTCGTGGATTTTAGGAAGTGTCATTTCCCAAACAAGTCGCACTGTGCTTTAAGGCTACTACTCTGTAAAAATTGTGGACTGGGCACACAACAGGGAAGAAACGTCTAATCACTTCCTTCTGGGGCTCAAGTCTTGCAGCTGAGTCATTCCGGGATCAAACCAGGCAGGGCGATCTTCCTTTATCCCCTGACCAGCTTCATTACAGGACAAACCAGAGGGGACTGAGCATCTTAGAATCGGAGCCAGAGGTACGAGGAACAAGTAGCTGGACGGAGCAGAGGAGCGGAGGAGAGGTAAAAACTAGAAGGGAGAAGAGAGGAGGCCGTAGGAAGCTCTAGGGGTGGGGGCGGCGTGGGGTCCGAAACACAAGTTGACTACGGAGGATGAAAGCGGAAAGCGCTCTCTTGCGTCACCTTCTGGTATCCACGTGTATGTGCACCAGATAGACCTTACCCTCTGCTCCTAAACTGCTTGTTTGCTCTTCTAAATGGTTAGGACATAGTTGAGGGTTTACGATAGATAATAACCAAAAGGTCTAACAATAGGAGATGGATTGAAAAAATGTTTATAGAAGATTATTGTAGGGGAGGGAAAATAATGTTCCCTCTCCCCTAAGTTCTTAGCTGAGACCGCCATGGTAAAAGCCAGATTAACAAGAGAAAAACAATTTTATTAACATTATACCTCATGTACACATGGTAGATACTCAGGAAAAAATGAGTAACTTCCCAAGATGGCTTAGAATTCAGGCTTAAAATCCATTTCTGAAGAATATTTAATCACATGGGAATTTTGTGTAGGTTTTTTAAAAGCGAGCTATGCAATGCACATCCCAATATGGGGGAAAAAAGTGTAAGTATGGTATATATTATCTAAGGTGCAAAGGAAAATGTCTGGGCTAACAAGCAAATGCCAAGATAGATTCTGTGGTTATTTCCAGCAATGGAATTACAGGTAGCATTTATTTTATTTTCTTCATACTATTCTGTATCGTCCAAAATTTCTACAACGAATATATTTTATTTTTATGATCCACAAAAAGGTTTAAATATGTAAGAAGTGTGCGTTAGAGACAGAGAACAGTGTCCTAAGGGTCAGAGGTCACCAAGCATCCTAATAATGTGAAAGAGATATAAGCAGCTATTTGGTGGGAAAAACCCAGATTCAACTCTGAGGCCTGGATGGGACTCAAGGGCCCTTGAGATTTTACTGTTATTTTTCTAGTGCAATTTAAATTGTAATTTGCAGTGCAGTAAAGAAAGCTCTTTTTATCTTTTGATAATACAAACATAAATTTCCCTATTGGCAGATAAGTTTCCCCTGTATAGCTAATAGATATGTGCATATTTTGCATGGCTAATCATGTCATTTGCATATAATTTAAACCCATAAGTCATGTTTATAAGAATTCTGAGCCACACTCATTGCATTCAGCAAGCAGGGTGAACAAATTACATCCTGTCACTATTAAACTATGATCATAGAAGCAGTGGAGGAGGCTCTAATCCCAGCTCTCTATTGAGGGGCTTACCAGTGACCTTGGGCCTACCACAGAACTTCTTAGGGCCTCAGTTTTGTGATTCACAAACGAGAGAGGTAAGCTACTATTGCTCAGGCCCAGTAAAGTCTAGGATTTGAGGATTTCCTTTTCCCCATGGTAAAACTTGACAACATGCTAAAAACATAATGAAGACTGAACACTCTTTGAACACTAATAATCTTTATTCTACATGCTTTACTGAAAAGGAACAATTGCTATTTTAAAAAAGAAATGTCTGCTTATGCATTCTGGAAGGTGGAAGAGATAAGGCTGGTCTTTTGTATGAGAAATACCTGCATGGGGCTTTTGGTTTTAAAAGGTGATTTCTGCAAGGCATATTGCAGAAAGAGCTACTTTGACAGAGAATTGAATTGCTCTGTAGGTAAAAAAGAGAGATTGTGGGTTTGCTGTGATAAAATGAGGGGTAGCTGTACCAGTAGGAGTGGCTTTAGCTCTTTCCTCTACCCTCCATCAGACCCCCCAACCCACTCCAGGTAACATACAAGCTAAGGCCAAGCAGCGTGCTTCTAAACAAAGGAGACTTTGAAATAATGCCTTTAGTCCTGACTTCCAGTCAAATTGTTCTCCCCAAGACTCTTCATCTGTGTAAAAGGTTTGAGAATCACGCCTGGCAGGAGAACTATTTGGAAATACTGAGGACTTCTCAAGAGGAGGACAGAGGAGAGAAGGGTCAGAGCAGAGGGGAAGGCAGGTCCCAGAAGGGTACAGGAGCCAGGACTGACAGGAAAAACAACGACAGAAATTCCTTTCAGGGGACAGTCGGCCGAAGAGCTCCCATAACAGCAAGGCCTGCTGTTCAACCTGAAGTGGTTTTCTCTCTGTGCCACGCTGTAGCCCGTCCTCTGTTATTCCAGACCTTCAGCAGAAGCTTACAGCATATAATTGTCTAGCGCTACTAGTTCTTTGGGGGATTGAAGGGGTCCTTATAGGGCCGAAAAGGTAAGAGCAAGAACTATAGCTTCAGGAGGTGAGAAATGGAATTCGGCGGAATCAGAGTGAGAGGTGACTTAAAGAACATAAGCCACCCGACCTCCCACACACCCTTGTCCTCTGCTGTGACACGCGTGCACACACACATACACCCACACACTCATGTACCCCATACCAGTAATCTTCAGAAATACTGGAAGGAGACAGGACTTCTCATAATATATGGGTTGGGGGCTGGGAGCTAATAATTTCATCTGAATATTATAGGACAGGGTATTCTCAGAAGGTTGGAACATTGGTGAATGGCTTTCATTTGAATGTGGGATTCTTTTTTTTTTCAAGATTTTATTTATTTATTTCAGGGCCCGCAGGAGCGAGAGCACGCACAGGCATGCAGCGGGAAGGAGCAGAGAGGGAGGGAGGGGGAAAGGGAGAGAATCCCAAGCAGACTCCCCACTGAGAGCAAATCCCCATGAGGGGCTCCATCCCAGGACCCCGAGATTATGACCGGAGCTGAAATCACGAGTCGGACACTTAGCCAACTGAGCCACCCAGGTGCCCCTTGAATGTGTAATTCTTTTTTTGTTGTTGTTTAAGATTTTATTTTTATTTATTTGACAGAGAGAAAGAGCACAAGCAGGGGGAGTGGGAGAGGGAGAAGCAGGCTCTCAGCTGAGCGGGCCTCGATCCCAGCACCCTGGGATCATGACCTGAGCCTAAGGCAGACGCTTAACCCACTGAGCCACTCAGGCGTCCCAGAATGTGTAATTCTTTTTTTTTTTTTTTTTTTTTTTATTTGACAGAGAGACAGCGAGAGAGGGAACACAAGCAGGGGGAGTGGGAAAGGGAGAAGCAGGCTTCCCGCGGAGCGGGGAGCCCGATGCGGGACTCGATCCCAGGACCCTGAGATCTTGACCTGAGCCAAAGGCAGTCCCTTAACCAACTGAGCCACCCAGGTGCCCCCAGAATGCGTAATTCTTAACAGAGAACACATTTTTGTAATATTAGTAAAATTTAGCCTCAGGTGGCTCCGTTTTTTTTCTTTAAAAGAGAGTAGCAACCTCCATTGTAGTAGAAGTCACTTCTCCAATTGTTGGCAACATTTTCAGTGTTTGGTTTCTGTTTTAACCTCTTGCTCAGTCAGCTGAGCTCCATTCACATCTTGTACTCACAAAGGTTCCTTAACCTGGCCGTTCCTTCAGCCTCAGGGGCCTCGGTCTCTCCTGGGTCCTTCCTGAGATCCTTGCCCTTAAGGGACCAAAGAAGTGCCTGATCCACCCACTCGGGCCGTCTTCTCTTGTCATTGGGGTTCTTTTCATTTAAAGGATTGAGTTTCCGTAGCAGATGCGGTGTATCTGATGTGATGCTCCCTCATTTGGAGGATGTAAAACTAGGAACACTTAACATGTGACCGTAACAGAAGTAAATAGACCAGATGGGGCTTGGGTTTCGCGGATCTGTTTTTATCCCGATTTACTGTCAGCTTCCGCGACCACCACAAGTTGAAGAAAGGTCCAAACCCTCTGTTTGTACTCCTGCTGCTGTATCACTTGTAAAAACAAAGTTTAAAGTACGAGGTCATGAAATGATTCTGCGAGCCAGAACGTGTTCTAGTTACTCATGAAAATATGCAAGCAAACGCTTTTGGGGTGTGATGATTGTTAAGTGTAACAAGATGCCAGAAACACATTCGATTAGCAGCTGCTACAAGCACTCCTCCCAGGGGGAGCTTGCCTTCCGTAGGAAACACCCTTCCTGCCTGGGGTAGAAGCTGGGTCTGCAGAGGCTGGAGTTTGGCTTGTCACCCCACAGGGAGCTCCTGGGTGAATCTGGAGGGGGGAGGGAGGAGAAGAAAGGGAGAAAGAGACAACGTGAGAGAGGATATGTTGGGAGCTGTACCATGACGGGGAGCCCCCTGAATCTCCAGAGAGTTAAAAAAAAAAAAAATCACAAAACGTTTGGTGTGATTGCCTTTCTTGTGGAAACCTGAGGCGAGCGAGCACCTGTGTAGTCCTGGAGAGAAGCAGCCCGGGGCTGCCCTGGAGGGACGCGGCCAGCACGCACGCTCGGAGGGACACCGACGAATAGCCAGGGAGCAGAAGCTGCCAACAGTGCAGCAAGCCTGAGTGCTCGCAAGGGAACAAGGGTACAGACCGAGAGAACAGATATAGGGGATCTCACGATTTGGAGGGCAGGCTTGAGGAAGAGTGTTCCAAGAAGGCAGCCTGTTTTCTCCAGGAGGGACATAGGAGCCAAATCCTTGCAGGAAAAAGAAAAATAGGCCGATCGTCTGTTCTTAAATGGAGCGCAGGCATTCCTGGAAACTGCATCATTAAGGGGACTGCTACAAAATAAAACCGGTTTGCCCCCTAGGAAAATTATTATAACAGAATAGCATCCGGACCAAGGACTCAGCATTGCATAAACCATAAATACAACCGACCACATGTTATCAAAGCAAAATAGGTATGCACTCATATGATCACTTAAAACTGTAAAATTATTCTTGAGTTCCAGAAAACAGGCATAAATGTAATATACTCATAATTTTACAAGAGACTCTATCCTATATGCTATAAAGTAAATAGTTGTAAAAGCTAGAGTAGTAATTTTTTAAAAATATTTTCTTGGGTGCCTGGGTGGCTCAGTTGGTTAAGCGACTGCCTTCGGCTCAGGTCATGATCCTGGAGTCCTGGGATCGAGTCCCGCATCGGGCTCCCTGCTCGGCAGGGAGTCTGCTTCTCCCTCTGACCCTCCTCCCTCTCATGCTCTCTGTCTCTCATTCTCTCTCTCTCAAATGAA